AATCGGGGTGCGATGACCAGTGGAAATGGCCGCAGTGGAGATGGCCGCATATGAGTGCGGATTGGCTGCATCCGAGTGGCTCTGGTCCGGCCACCCAGGATGCACTGTCGATGTAGATGGAGATGGAGATGGCGCGCTGGCCATTGGTGTCTGTATTGGCTGGCCTCGTCGTTGGATTGCTGCTGCTGTTTTGTGATGATGGCGTGACGTCACGGCCATCGGTTGCTGGCAGCGTTGTTGGAGGGGCGTCCAAATTGGGCCCAACTTGCAACAAAATGTTGCGGTTGGTGGCGAGGCAGGTACTGGAGAGGCTGATCTGTGAGTGTATTGAAGGTAAGTGTGATTAGTAGAAGTAATGGCTATTTTGTGTTGATGCGTGAATTGATGTTTTTTTTCTTCTTTTAGCGGCAGTCTGGATGTTGATGGCGACGACGATAGGGGCCTCAAATTTCGCCCATTTGGCAGGAATTGGATGGCGAATTTGGTGTGGCACCTGCTGGAGAGGCAGCTCTACCGGAGGCGTGGCAGGTACATATGTTTTGAGTGAGTTTGGACCATTTTGTGTTGAAGTGTGTATTGATGTTTTCTTCTTTTTAGCGGCAGCCTGAGGACTGGGTGTTGTTGGCGACGGCGATAGGGCCTTAAAATTTCGCCCATTTGGCAGAAAGTGGATGGAGAATTTGGTGTGGCAACTGCTGGAGAGGCAGCTCTATCGGAGGCGTGGCAGGTACGTATGTTTTGTGTGTATTTGGACCATTTTGTGTTGATGTGTGTATTGACGTCATTTTGGTTTGTTTACAGTGGCTGCTCTGGACCTGTGCGGTGGATTGTCAGGAGCGTCGTCAATAGATCCAAAAATGTCGTCCAATTGGCATCAGATGTGTGGTGTTGATGACGGGGCAGCTGCTGGAGGGGCAGATCTGTCGGAGGCGTGGCAGGTACGTGTGATTATTTTGAGTTTTGTCCATATTTTGTTGGTATGCGAATTGACGTCATTTTGTTTTATTTCAGTGGCTGCTCTGGACCTGTGCGGTGGATTGTCAGGCTGCCTCAGGACCGACTTTTGGGCTCATCAAAAGTAGTCAGAGTAGTAGCTATCGTAGTCGTCTAGGATATCCGCTATCTCGTCGTCAACTGAATCGTCGTCCGTCCACTGGTCGTCGCCATCGTCGCTGAGTGCTTCGCAGTCCATATCAGAGTCCTCCGATACGGCTGCGGCGTCTGGTTGTGTATTGGCGGCGGGTCTTGTAGGTGTTGGTGCTGCTGCTGGTGCTGCTGCTGGAGTCTGTGTTGGAGGATTGGCCGCTGCTGAGCCACTGCCCTTTGCCTCCGTCAGGCTTGCAATTAGTATGGTAAGCTCTTGCAGTCTTTTCTCCAAGTTTTCTATTTTGACGGCGTACTCTTTTAAGGTTTCCACACACTTGCCATCGCATTGGATGGCTGGCTGCTGCTGATGCTGGGGAGTTTTTGGTGTCTGGAAACGATTTGGAGTTGGCTGCACCCGTTGATCGCGCTGGCATTGGCGCCCCTTGGCCTGTGGCTGGGAATGATGGCCGCGATGCTGGTGCTGCTGCTGGTGCTGCCGACCCAAATTGTGTCCGCGCTGCTGCTGTTTTTGTTCTTGTTGCTGCTGCTGCTCTTCCCTTAGAATTTGCTGGAACTTGGCCAAATGATTTGAAGCCGGATTGGCTTGCGCACCTCGGCTATACAAGGGCCTGCGGGTGTTGGGCGTTGCTGCTGCTGCTGCAGCTGGTGTTGGTGCTGCTTTGGCACCTTGTCTGCCGCTTGAATGCTGCTGTTGCTGTTGGTGTTGTGGCCGCTTCTTCTGAGATGACTGCTGTTGCTTGGGGGCGGGGATATGAGGCTGCTTTTGCTGGGAAGGACGACGACTGCTGTTCGGCTGTTGCCGTTCTGCCGCGCGTGGCTGCTGCTGCTGCTCAGCATTCCCGGACCGCAACACCCTGCTGTAGGAAGGCCTGCCATTGCCTCTGGTGCCTGTGTTTGCTGTCTGCTGTTGTTGTTGCTGGGATTGGCGACTCGGCTGCTGAGTTTGTGGGCGTTGTTGGTCAGTTGGCTGCTGTGGCTGCTGGCGTTGCTGTTGGTACTGCTGCCTTTGCTGCTCAGCGATGAGCCTGTTTGCCCTTAAATGGCTGCGGGCCTTTTTGTAGGCGGGACAACCCTTGTAGCAGCTCACGTGCTTGCCGCTACAATTCGCGCATTTAGGATCCTCCTGCCTGGGTTTCCTGCATGCTGTTGTGGGGTGATCTCCTGCGCATTTCATACACTTGTATGGCCGTCTGCAGTAGTTTTTTGTATGCCCAAACTCCTGGCACCGATGGCACTGGGCTGGATCGCGTGGCTTGGCTTGTCTTACTATGGAGACGCATTGATTGGCCAGGTTTTTAATGTCCAGAATTGCCTCATGGCCGCCATCCGCCTTGGGCTGAATTTCAACCTCAAAAATGTTTAGAGGCCTTCCATTAAAACGGTGTTTGAGTCCTCGGATAAACCGGGTGGTGTATCCGAGCCGTTCCAGCTCCTCCGTTATCCAGCTGCTGGGAGTAGTGTGATGTAAATGACGCACTATTACACGGTAGCCCCTTTCACTGCGCGGCTGGTGTGTGTGCAATTGGGTGCTGTCTTCAGCTAGGGCGTTCTGAATGGCGTTGTAGGTTGTCATGTCGTCGCAGTGGACTCTGAGTCCACTGTTGGCCATCGATTTCGTTGTGAATTTCCCCACGTTCGGATTTGTTGTCAATTTATTTATCAGGGGTACAATTGCAGGCACCAGGGGCAGGAAGATTGTTGGGACCTTGGTGCTGCGTAATGACGGTTGGACGGGAGTTATATTTATACTAATGGCTGGCTGATGTTGCGGCTGATGGTTGTCCGTCTCCATCTGTTGGCTTTCAGCCTCTATCCTTTGGGGCTCCCTATGTTGGACCACCGGAACCGGAACCACACTATTTGACGGTGTGCGTATTTGCCCAGCATCTGACTCCATCTGCCGGGTCTCATGATGCAGCCTTTTCGCGAATTGGCTCTTGAACATGGGCGTGTCCAGAGTGAGGCAGGTGAAGTCATCGTCATCTGTATCCGTTTCTGTAGTCAGGTTATCCTTTGCTATAGGGGTAAGGGGCAGGGGCGAGGGCATTTCATTGGCCAGTAGCGGGGGAACGCTAATTAGCCATTCCTTTACCAGCTGTGTTCTGGTACTAGTCCTTGTCTGAGTATTATGCTCGTCCGCCTGAGTCAGAGTGGGCAGCAAGCATTTTCTGCTTCTGCTAGTATTATTGCGTTCAGCTGTCGTCAGACTTTGTTGCTGTTGCTGGTCATTGTTTTTCTTTATGCCGTTTATGATTTCGGCATAAGTCAATGTGTTTGTTTGTGTTTTGTTATTGGCGTAGGTCAGGCTAGCTTCGTTCTTGTATGTGTTTGTGTTTTGGTTCGGCGGGAGAGAGCAAGCATCTCTCTTTTTGTCATAAGTGTGTGAGTGCATGTTTGGCGGCAAACGCTTTGGGGCTTGATGTGACGAGCCTCCGTTTTGATTGTGCGCCAAGGGTTCGGGCGCTGAGAGAGCGCAAGCGTCGCTCTCTCTGATGCTTGTGTGAGTTGTTTGATTGTTATTGTTTTCGCTAATGTTTTGGCGCGAAAACATATGGGCATAACATTTGTTCTTGTTTTGTTTATGTGCACTTAAATGCTCTTTGGTAAGAGCGAAAGCGCCGCTATTTTGGGAACCCGTTGCACTTTCGCTGGGAACTATTTTTGTCTGCGTGTTTGTACGTGTATTTGATGGCGGTTTTTCTTGTATGTTGGCGTCTGTTTTTGGTGGGATTGGCGGGTATTTTCTAACATATAAACCCCTGTCCACGAAACGACGCTCGAACTCCAGCACCGTAGCTCCCAAGGAGCTCAGGGTACTCTCTGGCGAGTCCGTCTCCAACTCGGCCAGATCCGCATCCCCCTCTGAGTCGAACATTGGTTCGAAGAGGGAAGCATTTGCGGAGGGGTTCCCTCCCAGGGGCCTGGTCATTATATCGGTAGCACTATTTTGAGTAACGCACTCACCACCCGCTTCGGCTCTTGCCGAGTTGTCCATAGCATCCATAACATCCATTTTGTTGGTCGTCAGATTTGGAGCAAGTGCGTCCATTTGGTGGCCTGGTCCAGGTACTCAGTAGCTTGCTTTTCCTTCCTCTTTCCTCAGTTGGGTTTATTGGCTTCACTGTTACAGCGCGATCAGAGATGATTATATTGCATTATTTGCAATTATTTGGCACATATTGTTTATTTAGTTTCATTTAATTTAGTCCCGGTTTAAACATGTATTTTAATACATTTAAAGTTCCACATAAAACAACAAAAAACACAAGTCACTTTTTTTTTTCGATGTAATTAGATGCGCGTGCACGCCTACGATGCGCACACTCGCCCGCCAGCTTTGCTACTGGCGGAGTTTATTTCCAGCTTTTCTTATTACCAGTACTTCGGCAATTTACATTTAAGCTTAACTAACAACAATAATGTGATTTTTAAAATTGGCGGGTTGTTAACATTAACATTAGCATTACAGTAGCATTACATTAACATTAACATTAAAACATGAAACTAATGGTCTGGCAGCCCTTATGTGTCAATCACAGGATTAACGTACATAAATCAGCAGGTGGTCACAAACAGATAAGTATTGACAATATTGAACAATTATTTACATTTTAATTTAATTTAATTCTATTTTATTTCTATTTGCAGGTACTGGATCATCGTCGTCGTCTGGAGCAGAGTGTTTGGCACGGTGCGCAACCGTCCGGCGCTGGATGAGCGCGTGTGTAAGGTGCGGCAGGAGACGTGGACAATGCACAGCGCCGTGCAGAGTGGATGGAGCGATCGCCGTGGTCCTCCAGGTGGCCCGGGATTCGGCCAGATTTGTGTGGCGATGGTTGCCAGCAGCCATGAAGCGCAGGAAAACCACCCCTGCGTGGATTCGGATGCGCCATGTGTGCAGCGCAAGCGTGTCCAAATTGGCATTCATGGCCAACCAGCAGCCGTAATGACTCTCGTCCGCGGAGCCCTTCTGGAGGCCGGATGCCGTGGTGACGCCCATGAGAAAGGATCAGAGGAGCAACTAGGGGTGTCGCCCGGTGTCGCAAGCGTGTTTGTACACGCTTCAGGTGAGTTTTGTGCCGTTTTATATTACTCTGTGGAGGGGATAATTTTGCAAATTTTAATGTCATTTTTACATTTACCAGGTACAACGACAATGTCCACCACAGGAACATTGGACTTGCTGCGGCCGGATTGCGACGTCCCAGTGAGCGGCGCCTTGCTGCACCGAAGTGCGGAGTCACTGTGGCGGTGTGCGCAATGTGCCGGCCGGCATCATCGTCGTTGTTGTGGTCATCGTCATCTGAGATGGATTGGACATCGGTGATGATTTGGACGTCGTCGTCGTCGTCGTCATCTGAGATGATTTGGACGTCGTCGTCGTCGTCGTCGTCGACCACCCGTTCAAGGCGCCGTCGGACTTGCTCCAGTCCGTGGTCCAGAAGTGCCTCTTGCGGATTGCGTCGATGGCTGTCGTCCAGGGTGCGTGAGCTGCTGCTTGCAGCCCGTGTCTGGCAACGATGATGTGACGTCTGCCGGTTGCTGCTCGCCAGAATTTGCCGTGTCTGCTGCTGAGTCCGCTGCTGCGTCTGCTGCTGCATCCTGTTGTTGTGTCTGCTGCTGAGTCCGCTGCTGCGTCTGCTGCTGGGTCCGCTGCTGCGTCTGCTGCTGCATCTGCTGCTGAGTCTGCTGCTGCGTCTGCTGCTGAGTCTGCTGCTGCGTCTGCTGCTGCGTCGCTGGATCGGGATCCCCCTCGTAATCTGGCAGGATTATCCTTTGGACAGAAAGTGGCTGGCCGAAGATAAGAGCCACTATTCTTTCTCGGGGAGTTTGGCCGCTGAGGTATCGTTTTCTGAAGCAATTTATCATCGATTCGTTGAACCTTTCGGGGTTCGGATTGATGATATTTTGTTGATGGATTCTTCTTAATTGCCTGGCGTCTGATTCCTCCTGTCTCTTTCTTTTCAGCTCCTCCTCTTCGAGACGGACCAGCGTTGGAAGCGATTCCTCGGAGATGGCCGGATCTGGATGTTGATGATGATGGCTGCTCCGATCCTGATTTTGAGGCTGCAGCGGGCGGAAGTGTTGGAGCAGCTGTTGCAGATAACGTGGTCTCTGCAATCGCTGTGGTTCATACGGCTGCAGTAATAGTTTCCGAGCCTCCGGATTGACATGGCAAGCCAAGGAGTTGGCGAAGCGCCCACTTGCCGCATGGAACACTTCGTCGATTGTGTCTAGATTGTGAGTCTGTCTTATCGCATCGTTCCTGGTGAACCTTGTCGCCTTCATTGCCCGTCTAATAATTTTATTTTGTAGGCTTTGCACCCGTCGCAGCTGGGAATCGGATGTAAGTGCGCCCCAAACCGGAAGACCATATTGCCAAATGGGCATGATGAGCTGCTTGATGACTATAGCCTTGGTTTCGCTTGGCAGCCGGCTTTTTGGGCCAGCAAGCCAGTCCAGTTTGGCCGCTCTTGATCGGAGTTTTGTGCAGATCCTCGTGATGTGTGAGCTTAGGGTGAGTTTTTTGTCCAATTTTATGCCCAGATATGTGTGTGATTTGGACAGTGGCACAGCCTGTCCATTTATAGTCGGCGTTTGCCTTAAGTCCGTTGATCTAATTGTCCTCAGTGTGAATATTACATGTCCGGTTTTTTTCGCATTTATGTTAATGCACCACTTCTTGGCCCATATAGAGAAGTGAGTCAGGTATCTTTGGTTATATTTGACTGCCACATTTGGGATTGCAGATGCGCTCATTATCACCGTGTCGTCGGCATACGTGGACAGCAGCATTGATTCCCGTTCTGGATGGAAGCCAGTGCTGTCCTGGATGAGGTGAGGCATTGGCATGTCCGAGGCATAGATTGTGTATAGGATTGGCCCAAGTACACTACCCTGCGGGACTCCAGCTGATATTTTTCCGATCCTTGACAGTTCCTCGTCTCCGCAGCTCACACAAAAAGTGCGTTCAGCCAGGTAGCTCTCCAGAATGCAGTACAAATTTAAAGGCAGCAGCTTCATCAACTTGTACAGCAGCCCTTCATGCCATACTCGGTCAAAAGCTTCGGAAATGTCCAGGAAAATTGCCGAGCAAACTTGTTTTTTCTCATACGCCTTGAGGATGTATTGAGTGACTCGAGCCAGCTGCTGTTCAGTGCCATGCTCCCGCCGAAATCCAAATTGGTAATTGGGTACGGCCTTGGCAAAATTCTCCACCTCAAACAGTCTCGCCATCAGCAATTTTTCAAAGATCTTTGAAAGGCCAGATAATAGACTGATTGGCCGGTAGGAACACATGTCTGCTGTGTTTTTGCCCGGTTTTAAAATCATTTTAATCTGGGCATGTTTCCACTGACTTGGAAAGTGGCCCAGCCTGAAAATGGAGTTATATATTAGTATTAAATATAATAGCGCTTTTTTTGGCAAATTTTTAATCAGTTTGTTATTGATTTTGTCTCCCCCAGGTGATTTGGACAGCTCCAATGCATCCACAATCTGCATCAGCTCAGGCAGTGTGACTGGTCTGAAGGGAATCCTGGTTTCCTGGTCCGGTTGTAGCTGCTTCTGCCGTTTTGACTGCTCACGCTCTCTATTGATTGCGGCCCGCTCTTCATCTGAATTGGACAGTATCGGGCTGAATCTCTCCTCCAGGTGAGTAGCAAAGGCATCGGCTGTCTCAGCTGTTGACTTTGTCCACGAGACACTTGCCTTGCCTCCAGTCAAAGTTGGCAGCCTCAGTGGCCAGTTTGGCTGCGGCTGTCTTTTGATTGTGCTGGTCAATTTCCAAAGTTTCTGCATTTGATAGCGGTCTTTGTTGTCAATCCCTGTGAACAGTTTGTTGATGTTTTTGTTTTTCAGGATTGTGAGCCCCTTGTTAAGACGATTTTGCGCCGCCCTGTAGTTTCGTCTGGCTTCGATGGTGCGGGTCGCCAGCCAGATCCTCTTGCACTGCTGTTTGATGGAGAGCAGCTCGCTTGTAGCCTCGTCCAGCTTGAGGTGATGGTGCCGGTGATGTTGCTGTGACCGCTGCTGATGATGATGCTGACGCTGCTGTGGCCATCTTCGATGAGTGTTTGGATGCTGCTGTTGATGTTGTGTTGTTGCTGCTGCTGCTGCTACCCGTATATTGTTCAAAAACAAGTAAACGACGTCATCAATGTCCTGCGCTATCCTAATCTCGGTGTTGAGATTGATCAACCGTTCCAGCGACTTTTGGAACAGGCTGATATTGGCGCGTGCTGGGAGCAGATGATTCCTGACTGTGGGCGTAGGATGTCTACGTCCACCGTTGCCGATCGTCAACTCCACCCTGAGCAGCAAGTGATCAGAGTCCAAAACCGAGCTTGAACGGATACTCAGGTGAGTGTCGTTGATTCCTTTGTAGATTCCAAAGTCAATCGCTGATGGTCTCTTTTTTTTGTCGTAGGGATAGTGTGTGGCACCACCGGTGGCCAGCAAATTGCAGCCGTTGTTGGTGTGTACAGCCTCCATCAGTGCTTTCCCTCTGGCGCATCCACGGGCATTTCCCCACCACACATGCTTCGCGTTCCAGTCACCGCATACAAGGAAGCCGGATGCTGTTTCTTCGACGCAGAGTTCTTCAAAATGTCTTATCAATCCAGTAAAATGGGCAGGCGCCCACTTGAATACAGGCGGACAGTAGATCGGCGCAAAAATAATTCCCTTTTTATTTTCCTTTTCAGTGAAGACGATGACAGGTGCACTCTGGATGAATGGCTTTGAAATTGGCTGCAGAGCAGAGTGGGTGACATCGTCCCGGACCAGGATGGCTACTCCCCCTCTGCGATCGTTTGCCGGATTTTGTGCAGTGTAAGTGTGGAATCCGCTCACAGAGACGGCCCTTGTGCGTGTTTCGATGACCATCATTAATTGTATTTTTTCCCTTTTCAGGAAAACTTCGACCTCGTTCAACTTGTTTGTCACACCACACGCGTTCCAGAAGGCAATTTTAAAAGTGTTGCCGTTCTGGCTGACGCTGTGGGTGGAAATAGTCTGTACTGGATTGACTTTTTGGTTTGACAGGCCATTCGGGACTGGACTAAACATAAAAGGCATCATTGGCGGAAGACAGGGCCATGTCCAAAGAGTTTGGTGAACTGCTATTTGTTGTTTTGCTTGTCTTATTTGTATTGATGTTTATTAATTTGACTATTGCAGAAAATAGACTATCGATTTTGGCCTCAAGTCTTGAGAGAAATTCTGCATTTTCTTTATGGGCATGGGACTGGAAATTTGCGGGGAGAGTTTTTTGCTGTTCTTGTTGCTGCTGGTGGTGGTGCTGCTGCTGCTCATCCCTCAACTTCTGTTGGAACTTGGCCAAATGATTTTCGGACGGATTGGCTTGAGCACCTCGGCTATACAAGGGCCTGCGGGTGTTGGGCGTTGCTGCTGCTATTGGAGTTGGTGCTGGTGCTGCTTTGGCCCCTTGTACAACTCTTGCGCGCTGCTGCCGCTGATGCTGCTGCTGCTGTGGCCGCTTCCTTTGTGATGGCTGTTGCTGCTCAACAGTACGGACATATGGCTGCTGCTGTTGCTGTGGTCGGCGATGCTGCTGTTGATGATTGTCCGCTCGTGGCTGTTGCTGCTGCTGCTCCTGCTCAGTAATTCCGCTACGTACTACCCGGCTGTACGACGGCCTACCGCTGCCGCTGATTGTTGCTAGCTGCTGTTGTTGTTGTTGGCGGCCCTGTCGTTGCGTCTGCTGTGACTGCTGCTGATGCTGCTGCGTACGCTGATGTTTGTTGTGTTTCTGTTGTGGGCGTTGCTTCTCGGTTTGCTGCTGTGGCTGCTGGCGTTGCTGTTGATACTGCTGCTCACCGATGAGCCGGTTTGCCCTTATATGGCTACGAGCCTTTTTGTAGGCGGCACATCCCTTGTCGCAGCTCACGTGCTTGCCGCTACAATTGGCGCATTTAGGATCCTCCTGCCTGTGTTTCCTGCATGCTGTTGTGGTGTGATCTCCTGCGCATTTCATGCACTTGAATGGCCGTCTGCAATAATTTTTAGTATGCCCAAACTCCTGGCACCGATGGCATTGGGCTGGATCGCGTGGCTTGGCTTGTCTCACTATCGAGACGCACTGGTTGGCCAGTTGTTTAACGTCAAGTATTGCCTCATGGCCGCCATCCGCCTTGGGCTGAATTTCAACCTCAAAAATGTTTAGAGGCCTTCCATTAAAACGGTGTTTTAATCCTCGGATAAACCGGGCAGTGTATCCGAGTCGTTCCAGCTCCTCCGTTATCCAGCTGCTGGGCGTAGTGTGGTGTAAATGCCGCACTATTACACGGTAGCCCCTTTCACTGCGCGGCTGGTGTGTGTGCAGTTGAGTGCTATCTTCAGCAAGGGCGTTCTGTATGGCGTTGTATGTTGTCATGTCGTCGCACTGGACTCTGAGTCCACTGTTGGCCATCGATTTCGTCGTGAATTTCCCCACGTTCGGATTTATTGTCAATTTATTGATTAGGGGTACAATTGCAGGCACCAGGGGCAGGAAGATTGTAGGGACCTTGGTGCTGCGTAATGACGGTTGGACGGGTGTTATGTTTATACTAATGGCTGGCTGATGGT